TATCACCAATGCATAACACATCAACCCCACACTCAGAGGCTGAACTAAACCAAACATTTTTTATCTCCCAATTTCTCTGGGTCAGAAATCCAGGAGCAGCTTAGCTCTGGCTCAAGGCCTCTTACGAGGCCAAGGTCAAGGTGTCTGCTGGGCCTCGGATCGCTGGAGGTCTCCCCAGAGGAGGAGCCACTTCCAAGCTCACCGCGTGGCTACTGGGAGGCTTCAGCTCTTTGCTGGCTATTGGTCAGGTCCTATCCATGGGGCTGGTTAAAACATGGCAGCTCCATCCACACAGGAGAGAGAAAGAGAGCGAGAGCGAGAACGAGAGAGAGAGAGAGAGAGAGAGCAAAAACAGATGCCAGATTTTGTAATCTAATCTTGGAGCCAACATACCACCCCCTTTGATGCCGTCGTCTTTGTTAAAAAGCAAGGCACAATTTGTACATCTGTGTTCACAGCAGCATTGCTTACAATAGCCAAAAGGTGGAAGCAACTCGAGGGCTCATCAACAGATGAGTGGGTAAGCAGAATGTGGTACAGGCGTACAATGGAGTACGGTGCAGCCTTAATTAAAAAAGAAGGAAGTTCTGACACCTGCTATAGCCCGGATGAACCTTGAAGGCTTTACACTAAGTAACAAATAAGCCAGTCAGCAAAAGACAAATACTGAGTGATTCCACTTATATGAGACAGCTAGAGTAGTCAAATTCACAGAGGCAGGATGGAGAATGGAGGTGGCCAGGGGCTGGGGACAGGAGGAAGGACTGGGGCCTTTTTTAACTCCTAGAGTGCCGGGGAGCACGATCGCGCTCCTCCTGTCTTTCGCCAAAAGTGCCAGGAGCGCTATCAAAGCTTCGAAATGGCATCCAGTTCTAAGTCTGCTTTTATTAGTGATGATGATATTGCTAAATATGTCAATGTAGTAAAGGTTTCCTTAAGTTTTTGAATATGTAACTTCATTTTGCTTGCGATTCATAATTTTTTCCCTAAACTGCTGTACAATCAGCAAAAATGCCTTGGCAATTTTAGCACAGTTCCTAGGATATTGGTTGGCACTCAAAGGGTTAATGGGTACAGATTTGCAGTTGTGGGAGAGGGAATGGATCTGGAGACTGGGGTACAACGATGTGAATATACTTTAACACAACCGAACTGTACACTCCAAAAATGGTTAAGGTGGTAAATGCTATGTTATGTGTATTTTGCCACAATTATTTTTTTAAAAAAGCAAGTCGCAAAGTCCAGGTCACATTCAAGGGATGAGGATTATACCAGGTGTGAATCCCAGGAGGTGGGAGTCATTCAAGCCCACCTGCCATGTTCAGTCACTTCCCCAATGCTGGAGAGAATCTAACTGCTCCATTGGATCGAAGTCAACGTATTTAAGGCCACCTCAGTGCTGGCCACGCCCAGCAGGGACAGGGCAGCACCTGCTGGCCCAGATGTGCCCTCCCAGGGAGAGTGCCCAGGCAATAGGAGACCTGCTGTGGGAATTACCGGGTGAACAGGCTGTGTTCCCAATCAAGGAAGCCCAATTAAAACCCCATCCCACCACAGTGTTCGCTGGTCTCTACTACATCCCACACGGAATAGAAAGGTACGGTAATGACTGCACGCTCCCGGTCCCATCCCAGCCTGGTCCCGTCCCATCCCATCAATTCGTGGCAGAGCTCGTTGTCATCCGTTTCAAGGCCAAGGGTGAGGCAGGGACTTATGGGGATGGGCAGAGAGGGAGGTGAGGCACACACACACACACACACACACACAAAGCTGGGGTCTCTAGCGTGAGACACCACTCCTCCAGACCCTCACCAAGCTGGAAGAAAAGTACTTCAAGACCTGCACTTCCCGTCGTGGGGCCAGCTTTTCTCCACTGCGTCCAAGTAGACACCATAGAATACCACTTCCTCTGCCCACATGGATTGGAAGCAAAGATGCCTGTGAAGGACTAGGATCCCGGCAGAGGCAGACAGGACATGTTTTACCTAAAGGAGCTCGCGAACAGAAGGTGCTTATGAATTAGCACCGTGTCTAGGGCCTGGTAAGGCTCGATGAACGTTCACTACTATTACAGTGACGAGGGGTGGTCCAATCTCCTGCGGTACAAGACGAGCCCCGGGGCCTGGTAAGGCTCGATGAACGTTCACTACTATTACGGTGACGAGGGGTCCAATCTCCTGCGGTACAAGACGAGCCCCAGTTCTCTGGTGTTTCTTTGCTCAAGTCCCACATTAGCAGTCCGTTTGCATTTAGAGGCCACCTGACAGGAAGGAAGCATACCCTTCAAAACCAGAATCACGCTCGGAGCAGGGGGACGTCACACCAGAAGAGGGATGAGAAACTGTCGACTGGCCCAGGGGACAGCGGCTCGATCCCCATCTCACACTCACTGAGGGGGGTATGCTCCCCTGAGGGAGGACAGCATCATCTACTCTATCTAAACAACAATAATAATCCTATGATGAGTATTTTAATAGACTGTAGATCTTAAAACTCACATAACTTAAAACTACACAATGTAGTACTACACAGGGGGCAAATGAAACACAGCTTAATAGCATAACGCCCGACAAAGACATCTTTTCCAGTCTCCAGTCCTTATGGAACCCACTATGAGCAGGGCACTCAGCTATAGGTAGGACCTGTGGGATTCCAGAGGCAAAAAAGGGCACGCTGCCTGTTCTCAGGGAGCTAAGGGTGGCGCCTTTCCCTGGCTCGGAGGCTGTCACACTGTTGGCGACTGCAGCCGTCACCCCCGCCCTGATGGGACTTGTTTTCTGAGAGCTTGTGGGAACACAGCTCGCTTTCCAGGGGGGTATCATCTGCTTGTGGAAGGCACAAAGCTGAGACGCTAAGCGAGGCCGCTCCACGTAAGGTACCTGGCAACACCGGGCTCCCCACGCGTGTCCACCACTGATGTCTCCTACGCCTCGTGTTTATATGAAAGTACAGTGTATACAGAGAAAAAGGGGCTGGGCTTAGAAACACTAACTTCACCCAGCCTGTAGAGAGCGGTTCTTCTTAAGGGTAAGCCAACATCTGCTTCAGAAAAATGCTGGGACAGGCCGATGGGGCAGGGGTGGGGGTTTGTGGGGGTGGGACGGGAGGGCAATTTCCCTAACTTCCCAGGTTTAGATCCGGGAGTCCTTTTGCTGAACATCTCAGGACACCATTAGTGAGTCTAGTGAACACATAGGAAACCATCTAAGAAATAGCACAGAAAACCTCCTCAACCCCTCCTATCTATGCTAGTATGTCCTCGACTCTGTGACTGGTTCCCCCCATTTGCTATCTATCACTGCGGATGGCACAGGCCATAGGAGTCTTTACTGGCCTAACGTTTGGTTTATAAAACTGACTTTGCGTAAAGGCTAGAAATACCCTGCCGCTCCATCGAAGTTGAGAAATTCCGCGGCAAATGGCAAGATTAGAGACCTCGCTGAGGCTGGTGCACAACAAGGGCTTCAGGCTTCACGGTGTATTTAATCAGCGAAGGCTCTGGAAGCACGGACGGCTCCCAGGTGACTCTGCTGGTTTGGGGTGCAGCCTGAGCTCTGCATTTTGGAGGGTTCCACATGCTGCTTCTCAGAGACCACACTTTGAGAACCCCTGGTGAAGCGAAGACCCGAGGGCAATCAGAGGCTAACGCTACCCAAGAATAAGCCCCCTCAGCTGCTTTCTGCACACGTTTTGGCCGAGGCTCTGTTGATGAACATTTTGTCTGTCCTTGTCTCTGGACCTCGAGCGTACAGGTTCGGATGGATCACCATCCCTGGTTTGTGACCCACTGTCACCAGTGGTCTATGAATGACCCACTTATTCATTTTTAATAACATAACAAGCACCAACTAAAACAAAAGCCAGGACCTTGAAAAGAACCTTCATCTGAACCCATCCATCCCACCTCCTGACAGGAGTTGGCCAGTTATGTCTTTCCCTTGCCTTGCTTTTTGCAGTTTTATTACATCTAGAAACTGTGGTACATTTACACAGTGGAATACTGAGCAACAGTCAAGAAAATGAACTCTACCAACAAACAATAATATGGGTGAATCACAGCAATATAATATTAAGTAAAAAAAAAAAAAAGGTAAAGCTTGCCTTCAGGTGGTACTAGTTTATACCCGAAATATATACTTTTTAGGTTGCCTTAAAATGGACGTACATTCTTAAATCTTTGTATTTTGGCCTCACCACTGAAGAAAATACATGTTTACAGGAAAACGGCCAATGAGTAAAGAAAGGTACCCGGTCAGTTTTCACAGGAGAGGATACGACCCTGCTGTGCCCTCCGGGGTTCCCTAAAACGCTCATCTTTCCACCCCCAAACGGCACCCCCTGGCTTCCATAAAACAGCTCTGCGACGGAGAGCCCTGAGAGGAGCAGGCGATCCACATAAGAGGAAACAAAGAGTAAACAAGCACATGGGGAACATTAGCTTTGCTCACAATCAGAGAAACACAAATGCAAGCATTTGGGAGGCCGTCATTCTGTGCCCGATAAATTAGCAAAAATGGAGAAAACAGAACCGCAGCAAACGCCGGGGGTATCCCAGTGAAACTGACGTGTACAGACAATGCGAGCAGCCGGGTGAAGCAAAAAAATTATTCCCAACAGCTGTACGGCGAGGCGGAGCCGTGCACCACGCACACGGCCCACCCAGACTCATCCCGCAGGCGAAATTCAATGGTAAGAACAGCCTCAAGGGCCCCCAACGATGCAGCAACTCAGAAAACAACAGCAGAGGCCCCACAGGGCATCACGGAGCTGGGGCAAACTTCACTTTTGAGAAAATGTGCATATGCTATTTAACACGAGAAAAACAAATGGGATGGTGCTCCTCATTAGCACCATGTGTGCAAGGGCTGCGGGGTCAAGTGCAAGCATGAACACGGTGCACGCGTGTGGAGGTGGGCACGGGTGTCGTGTCCTCCCTCCTAGGGTGACCGTGGGGCGGGGCTGCGATCTGCGATCGCTGGTTAGCGCCAGGCGCCTCCTACCTTGAGAGCTCTCGCAGCTTTCCTCGTCGCTGTTGTCCTGGCAGTTGTTCTGCCCATCGCAGATGAAGCTCTTGTCGATGCAGAGCCCGTTCTTACAGTGGTAGCGGGCGGTGGAGCAAAGCAGAGGGTTTGCTGCTGTGAAGGAAAGAGAGAGCCAATTACCAGGGAGCCAGCCTGTCCCGTGGACACCCCCCGAACCTCCATCCAGCAGGGCGTCCTGCTCGGGAGGCAGTGAGCTCGTCCTGGGACCCTGGACAGACAGTGACCTGGGCAGGACAGGACTCCCTCCGCCCCATTCCAAAAGCAACTTTGCCCGAGCCACCAGGCTAGTGCCCTGTAACCATGCCAACACAAGGCTGGTGCCCTGTAACTATGCCAACACAGCCAGAGGGCACTGCCTGGCCCCAGGTCAACCTCTAGGCAGTCCAGCAGCCTGAGGGGCCTGGGCCACATGTGAAGTCCCGGTAGAGTTGCGAGTGGAATGCTTGGTAGGATGAGACACACAGAATGGCAAAGCCAGGAACCCCTGCCACCAAAGGAGTGATGCCAGGATCTGGTCCAAGAGCTATGCTGGACCCTCCCGGCTCCCTAACTGTGGGTCAGCATCTTAACTCCTAATGCATCTTGATAGTTCCCTACACCCTGTGGTTTCTCTCCTTCTTTCCAGTCAAAGGAGCCCACTGACCCACTTGGCCTGCGTGGCTCCCCCGGGAGGCGCCCTGTTGCAGGCACTTTCAGGGACCTCAAAAGAAATGACCGATAGGGTTCCTCCCTCAAAGACAAGGGTGGCAACTGGCCGGTGTGGGGGTCACCACAAAACTATTTAACGACATGCAAGCACATCTCCACAGAAAATCAGTATTTCTACAGCACGATTTGCCTCATTCCTTGTAGGGCAATTCCCACAAGGCTCTTCGGAGCTCTATTTTTAATCAACGAAGCAGCAAAGTAGAAATTCCTCCGATCCCAGCCCTGACAGTTATGAGCTGTGCAATCTCGGGCAAATTAGATCCCGTCTCAAGCCTCGGCGCCTCAATCTGTGGGCAGGACCGACCACCTGACTTTCAGGGCTCAGTGCAAGCTGGAAGACGTAGGCCAACTTTTGAAAAATTATTTAAAAATTCAAGAAGGCAAGTGCAGGGCGTAAAAGCCAGCGTGGTGCCCTTCCTTCTAAGGCAAGCACAGGCCCTGAAAGATGGCACTGGTCACAGGCCCAGGAAGCTGGCCCAGCTGCTGACGTCACTAATGGGAGCATCACCTGAGACGACAGGTGAGGAAGCGTGCAGTGCAGTCTGACACGTGGCACAGCACAGGGAACAGTCCCCTAGGGCTGCCCGGAGGGTGGCACTCTCTGAAGGAGCGAATTGGTGACGATGAAGCGGCTCATCCTGGAACTGGGGGATGCCCTGAGCCCACACCTGGGTGACAGGTGCGGGAAGAGCACCAGAGCGGGAGGCCGGGCCCAGGCAGGAGAGTGCTATGGGGTCAGGCGCAAGGAGCTCGGGGTCTCTCGGGGGTCGGGGGGCAACTGCAAGATGGCAGCTGTCATCAGCCTTCCCGCGCCTCACTGAGCCACCGGTAAGACAGGCAGAGATCATGGCTGCAGGGACTGTGAATATCACAGGGCCCATACACTGGAAAGGCTGCAGGGTTATTCTTCATTCAACTCGGAAAGTTTGAACTGAAAGGTCAGAGGACGGGGACGGGCAGGGGAAGCCAGTGCTCTCAGTTCTGAAAAGGACGGGCCAGTGCAAAGTCCAACACAAATAATCCGGCCTGGAAACGGGAGTTTTAAGTCTAAATCGCTGTGGGCCACAGAATGGTTCTACGTGATCGGGCTGAAACCAGGGTCTGACTTCAGCCAAAACCGAAACGGGGAAACCCAAAACCTCAAGTCACATTCGGTTTCTGTCCAAGGCAGCCCGCCAAACCCTCCGTGCCCTACCACGGTGGCCTTCAGCTTCCCTGGGACCTTGCGGGTCACGTCTACACAGCCACAGCCCGGGCAACAATCAGCTCGCTCTAATGAACAGCCTCGGGAGGGCACTGAAATTGCTCCAAGACCGGCTGGTTGCAAGCCTCTGCGACTATCCTGGTGGGGAAGGCTGTTTTCGATCAACCTCACTGACACTGTTGGGAACCACTTTCTTTTCTTCACCCTCGGACTCTCACAAAGTAGACGGTGCAAACCTTCCCAAGAAAAAGAGGTCGTGTGTGTGTGTGTGTGTGTGTGTGTGTGTATGCACATGCTACATACATGTGTACATATGTGTGCATGTGTATATAAAGATGACTTATATCTTCAAGATGAACTAAGGCTGACTAGACCTTAAGACACAGCTCTGGTAAGGAATCCAGACTGAAGACCCAGTCACTGGGGGGTATTAACACATATACCTGAAAAGATCAGCAGCCAGGACACAAAAAGAACTCTCGTCACTCCAGAGGAAAAAGGCAACTCAGTAGGGAAATGGCGGGGGATATCATGAGCAGGCAACTCCCACAACGGCAAATGGTCAACAACAACCTAAAAGAACGCTGACCTGTAATGAAGGCCCACTTTAACCGCATCAACGTGCCCAGCTTAAGGTCTGAGAACTCCAGGCTGCCGGCAGGATGTGCGGGGAGAGGAAGTCTCACAGACGGCCGGTGGGAGTGCAAATTGGTGGGTCCGCCTTGGAGGCCAATTTAGTGATATTCAGTCAAATTTAAGGTGCATCCAGCTATACTCTACAGAGAATTTTGAGCAAAAAAAAGTGCTACTGAGCACTATTTATAAAATATTAAAAAAATTAAAAATGGCACAAATGTCACCCATAGAAGAATAGCTACAATGTGAGATATTGCTACATCAGAATTCTACCGGCAGGGCTGGGCTCACTTTTTCGGTAAAGGGCCAGATAGCAAATATTTTAAACTTCGCTAACCCTTTGGTCTTTGTCTTAACTACTCAACTTTCCCATTGTAGTGCAAGGCAGCTACAGAAGATTCGTAAACAAAGAGCATGGCTGGGCTCCAATAAAACTTTATTTACAAAAACAGGCAGTAGGCCAAATTTGGTCCAGGGGCCATTGTTTGCCAACCCCTGCTCAACACTAGTGAAAAATGAATGAATCAGAGACAAGAAGTATGAATTTCATAAATGTAATAGTGAGGAAGAAAAGCAAGTTATGGATGAATATGTACAATGTTGTGCCACCTGCGTGAAATGACCCATGCTACTTATGCGTGAAGAATGCTACTTATGATCAATGGATACAAAAATATGTACTGAAAGAATAAAAACCTGCACTGGAAGAAACAAGGCTAAATTCAGGCCGGTGGGTGCCCCAGGAGAGAAGGGTAGGATCTGAGAGGGAAATACTGCAGGCTTGTAATGATACTGGATAGCATCTTATTATTCTAAACTCTAAGGCAAAAAAAGCAATATGGTAATATGATTTTTTAATTGAGATATAATTGACAAAGAACATTATATTAGTTCTAGGTGTACAAGAGAATGATTTGATATTTGTATATACTGCAAACAGATCAACTCAATAAGTCTAATTAACATCCATCACCATCCGTAATTAAATTTTTGTGTCAATGTTACAAGTTTTTTGTTTTTGTTTTTTTTTGTGATTAGGCCTTTTAAAATCTACATACTCCTGGCAACTTTCAAATATACAATCCAGTATGATGAACTATAGTTAATATAGCTGTAATGTTATCATAATGTAATGTCGTATGAATAATACGATATAGTGTTATTAACTACAGTTAATGTAGTTACGATAATAGAATAGCAACTATAGGTCATATCATTATTAAAGCAGGGTACTGGGAACCCAGAAGTCCACTTAATTTTCCTTTTCCTTTTCACTACGTTTGAAAGACTTCACTGAAAGGTTTTAAGAGTCTAGTCTGGCAGACATGTTTTGGTGATCACTCCCTTTCCTTTTTTCTTTCCTTTCCCCCCACATAATTCTCTTGGGCTCACAAACACCTGCTTTTGGTATCTTTAACACTGAGGTGCCCAGTTGCTCAGGAGTTGCCCAGTTGCCCAGTTTATACGTTTGTAAACCACCACACCTGGACTCCTCCTTGCCAAGGGCTCCTCGTAAAACACCGCCCCCCAATGCAGGCAGAGAAACAGGCGAGGGTGCTGGGGGAACGCTCCTCCAACCCTTAGAAGGCCCGGAAAAGGGCCTCGAACCGTCGGAACACACATGGTTCATGCCCCCCGGGAGCTCCGGGGAAGGGCCCTGGGGCCTCCTCTCCTTCAGGGTCTGCTGATTCTCTGTATGTGAATTCAAATGAGGTTTGTGTTCAGGTTCCCTGGGACACAGCAAATTAGAAGGGAAACTAGAAAAGCTATAAAAAAAAAAAACAAAACCACCTTAAGCATGCCACAAACAGAGCAGCCTAAGATAGTTTCGAAGAGACCAGAACGTTCTAAAAGGAGCCAAAGGCAACCCTGGCTTACAGCCTAGTCTAAAAACGAACGCCCCTAAAAACAGCCCCACGCTTTTACCAGCTAAACACTGATGCAACACATCTCAGAGAAATAAATCCCTGTCAGCACTGGTCCTCCAGGCATACATGGTCAGTTACTGGGCAGACTCACTGACCGGGGCGGCCTATCTCCCCGACGCCCCGAGATGGTGCAAGTTCCACGACACTCCTTCCTGGGCCTCTGCAGCTATTGACCAGACTTCGCCCAGTTTCAGGGCCCCGTGCATGCATGGGACTGCAGTGGCCAACGCTGCAGGATCCAGGCTCAGGGCGGGCAGGCATCAAGGCCAGAGGGCCCTGTGGTCCCTTGGAACCTGAAATAGTAACGGCTCAACAGGCTGCTCATAAACTGGCCAGGAAGCGCTTTGAACTTTAGGATGTTATGTCTTCGCAGCTTCTGTAATCTGAGTTTTCTTTGTCCTTGCTGAAGTGTACCCGCCACTGAAAAATGTATCATTTTTCTCAGCTCACTAGGGAGAGGAACAATGTGTTTTACAGTATTTATTTCAACGGGGATGAGGAAAACTGTCTGCAGAGTCAATTTCAAAAACTCAACGGTGGACTTACAAGCTCCTCTGTTATGACCACAACAAACACAGGGATTGGGGATGGCTTCCCGGCCCATGAGCTCCGCAGAG